GTTTTGAAGGGAGTTAATTTTAAAAACTTACCAAAAAAAGACAGGAAAAATCCATCACCAATCTACGACTAAAAATAGGAGGTGCAGAAAATGACAATGGCAGAGTTTAATAATAAATATCAAGCGATATTAAAAAATTTTTCTGTCAACTTTAACTCAAAAACACGACGAGCCGCTGAATGAACGACTGCCCAACGCCCAAACACTGCGCTGAAACTTTGATGTTCAGAGGTGTCGATGTTTTCCTGTTTTTCTCTTCACTTCGACTAGTTTTCTGTGCTGCCATTTTCCCCAAATTTCTAAGTTTTTTATTAATATATGTTAAAAAAGCACAAGGATGAGCAGAAGTGAATCAGTCCAGACTTGCTGAGCCAAATAAAGCAACACGATTAGATGAATGTTGTCAGTTGGTTGGAGTTGGGCGTGGATAGAATGTTGGCAGTGACACGCACAGTTAAAAATACATATAAAACCAGCGTCTTAATAAGAGTTATGTGTGCAGTGCTTGCAGGTACAGGCTCTTTGAAAACTCAGGGAAGCTTTTAAAGAGCTGAGGTGTAAGGTGAGATACCTTACACCTTCTGGTATCTCAGAAGGTGTAAGCTGAAAGATATTTAACGTGCTTCATTTATTCATTCTGTCTGAGCCTGCTGTCGTTAGCCATGCTCTGCTTTGATGGTTAATGCTTTGGCAGCAGCACCTGATCCTCCGTCTGAAGGGAACATTATGTTTTTAACCTGCAGCTGTTCAGATTATTTTGTGCTGTATTAGATATTTGTTTTCCTTACGTTACTTTTCTCACGTGTGAGATTTAGTGCACTATTATGAGTTTGTAATGAATTATCAGTGAACACCTGCATTCATTCACATAAATCCAAGCAAAGAAACCAGATTTATTCTGGTAATGTAGCACACAGTACTTTACGAAATTATTCACGCTCTTTATCAACTTTTTTCACATTTCAATTTAAGTGACAAATATAGTGTTTTCTTTGCGTTTCCTCGCAATACTTTTGGGTGCGTTCACACTGCAGCCTGAAGTGACTCAATTCCGATTTTTTGCCGGGGCCGTTCACACTGCCAGTAAATGCGACCTGTACGCGTTCTGCAGTGTGAACGGGCAAACGACCTGAAAGTGTCCCGCATGCGCAGTAGAGGGCGCAATAGCGTCAGCGTTCTCAGTGTTCTGCCAACCGCCATAAAAAGAAGAAGTGCTCAGTGGAGGCTAACGGTGGAGCTTAGCCTACATATTTGAAGTTGTTGTCTAACCGGAGCAGCATATTAACAACTTAATCCTCATATAGTCCGTCATGGTTGTTGTTTTTCTTCCCACTTGCGCATATCAGGACGCAGAACAGTGAGATTTGTTGAGAAACAGTGACGTTCAGTTCGGATGAATGCGACCTGGACGTTAGGTCGCATTTGAATCGGATACGTATCGGATATGGGTCACATTCGAAAAAGAATCCGACCTGTGCTGTTCACACTGCCATGAAAAGATCGGATACAGGTCGCATTACGTCAAAAAAATCAGAATTGGGTCACTTCAGGCTGCAGTGTGGACGCACCCATTGATTTATGTATACTGTCACAAATGTCAATTTGAAATTTCAAATATATAAACATTTAAAGCGCCTGAGTAAAAACATGTTTATATATTCTTAACTCTTTGGTGCAAAAACAGATTAAAGATCGATTTATTCACCAAATGTTTGTTTGTGTAAGGTTGACCATTCGTAGCCATTCGGACTACCAATACAAACAAAACAATCAAAAACTCAGATATAGCTTTAGTATCCCATGAAAATAACTCAGTAATAGTTTGTATGTTTCTTTCCATCTTACAGAAAGTTTGTTTACATCTTAGAAAGAGATGGAAACCCCATGTTTGGTCTATTGTGCTTTTGCACTTTGCACATAGGCTTGTGGTGCATTTATATCCTAAAGAAAAAAATATAAACCTTCAGATTTCTCACAAATGAGATGGAAAAACCTATCAAAAACCTTATTATTGTAGAAAGTATAGTGGCCACCATAAGACAGACTTAAAGTTCATGTGGCATGGACTAATCAGTACATTATTGCGATAGAACGCAAAAGAACAATTTTTTTTTACCATGTCCCCAAAGGGGGGTTTGTAAAAACTAACATACAGAGAGGGAATAGGAAAAAAACATGATGGATCGGTAATAAAGGTGTTTGTGGATGGATAAACGATGTTTTGATGCATGTTTTGTTGGCAGAACCAACAAAAATATGGAGGCTACGCATGCTAACAAACCTTCACAGAGATGCTTTGTTTAAATCTTTGTAATGTTTTTTCAGTTGGTTGAGCATCTTGTTATGTTTGTTCATGTGAAGATTCACTGATAAATTAGCAGTTACCTGCTCTGGAGCTCAGTGACTTTACAAAAGGCTTATAAGAGGCCCGGTTTTTTAGGCCGAGAACCCCCTTTCAGAGGGTTTGGTCTCCGAACGACAAATCCTTTGTTTACTAAATCTGTCTGACAAAGCAGATGTTAGCATTTCTGTCACGCAGACATTCATTTCAGTGTTTATTCAAAGCCTTTTCGTTTGCAGGTCCATGTTTGACGTTTTATCCCCTGGCTTTAGCGTAAAATACCCGGTTGAAGCAGACTGCCTCTTCCAAAATGTGTTGTTTTTAGTCTCTATGAGAATTATTCAGATACAAAAAGGTAGATTCTGCCTTTTGTAAAACATTTTATGGAGCTAATCTTTAATACGTCTGTGTCTCTGAGTGAACACTGAAAGTCAAACAGAAGCATTTGTGCTGGCTAACAACCAGGCTTACAGAAAACGATTCATTTGCCTCCCATTCAGTTTAAGCTGCAGTTCTCAGCAGCTTCTGATCCACCTGAATCAAATTAATGCTTCATTAGGCCTCTGCAGAGCTTTATATCAAAAACCAAGCAACTAATTAAGCCTTTCAGGTGCCTTTTAACAGAAATGCATTTATAATCTGCGTTGTAGTGGCTCTCAAAAACCGGGCAGATGACTTCTGGTTTGGGTTTTTAATAACCAGTGATTGGAAATAGAAAGTATGGGCTTGATTTTGATCTTTAGATTCAGATTAGTTTTGTTTGTTTTGAACCATTTGTCTTTTTCTTGATTACAGAAAACGACGCGACTTTTTCAAGTTTGTTGAGGTTCAGCACTGACTGTTTGGTTTTTAAAGTTTTGCTTTTAGTAACTCGATGGATTTGATGAAATGTCAAATGTTTTTAGACTGAATAAATATTTAAGATTTAATGTTTTATTAAAGGTTCTACTTGACATGTCTTTATGTTATTAATCAAAGCTCTGGAAGTACTTAATTTTGTGATATTTAACCTTTCTTCATCTCTTTTGTCTTCTTACGGCTTGGTGATAAATCAAATTTTGGTTTCGAAAATTTTATTAAGGTATTAGAGTTTCTGTATCAAAATAATCATTCTCAAAGTGACTGCTATTTCATCTGACTTTCCCCACTATGGAGAGTAAAGGATATTTTTATTCTGTTTTATTTATTTATTGGTAATTTATTTATCTTTTTGATTTACCTTATATTTTAAAATAAACTATTTCTGTATACTTAAACCAAAATGTTTGATCATTTACATATTGTTTAACTTTTAAGCAGTTCAAACTCAAACCTGTCTGACTCAGGAAAACCCTTTTGGTAAATATAACAACTTCAGATTTTTATACTGGGCTGCAAAAATGCACAATTCTTATTTGGGGGGATTTTGGCAAATTCTTCCTGCATAAGCTTCTTACGCCACCTGCACACAGCGCTTATTCTGTCTGGGGTACACACTGAAATTTCCTTTGTGTACTTTGAGAAGTGTACTTTTGTGTATTTTATCTATTAGCCCACATGTGTCAAACATAAAAAGCTATGGCGGGCCATATTTGGCCCACGGGCCTCGAGTTTGACACATGTAGTTTAGAGGAAAGGTTATCTTCTGATAACACAGATAAATGCAAAATAATTGTTTTTGTAAAGAAAAGTGCAAGTTTAGTTAGTTTCATTTTCTGTCATTGGCTTAAACTGAATCTTGACACCTGTAAATATGTTCTTCCTGATTCCTTTTATTCACAAAAATATCTGACATGAGCTGCTGTGAGATTCTCACAGTTTAACTTTCGCTAAGAATACCACAAATGGCATTTATTCAAAAAAAGTAAGGCAAAGATGCCTCACAGGATTTAATTACTTAGTTATTGGCTGTTTGAGTAGTAAAGCTGTCTGGCCGGTTAACCACGCTGCAATTAGCTGCAATTTTAAAACCATAATTTTAACCTGGAGAGTGAAAGGTGGCTCTGGCTTGTTTTCTTCCCTGCTATCCAAGTTTTTTTTTTTTTTTGCTAGAATAACTGCAAAACAGCCAAAGTTTCTATCCCCTGAAAGAGGGAAAGTAAATTAAAATTCTTGCAGTCAGATGAAAAACTTCTTGTTGCTCTCGATAGAGGCAGACAGTATGCAGAAATTGTACTCAAATAAGAGCAGCACTACTTCCACAGATTTTTACTCTATTAAAATTAAAAAGTACTATTTGGCAAAAAGTTTGCACTTAATTTTTCCTCATTTTGTTTTCCTACCGTGTTGCAGCTCTGGCCTTTGTCCAACACACATTTCTTCTATTGACCCTTTGCAACTACGTCACTTAATCATTCAGGCGCCATGATGGACGTCGGACGTGAGGATCGGGAGTATTGAATAGAGCGACTGAAATTGTTTTCCAAAGTTGTTTTTGCCAGTTTATTCATGGCTTCTACTTGTTCAAGTCGAGTTAATTTGTCTGTAAGCGTAACACACCTGGTTGGGGCTCATAGACGGAGAAATTTGCAAAAGTTGGACATAGCTAGCTTAGAAACTGACCCATATCTCGTCCCTCCTGACGTGTTAGGGTACCATTTGTTTACCATTTGCTATAATGCAATATATGATATTTCTAATCACACTTACTTATGCAATAAATGACCGTTAATCTTCTTACCCTGTAAAAAGTGTTTGCTGCAAATCCGTGGTTACACCGAGGGCTGCCAGTCATTGTGATTAACAGCTGCTCTCCATCACCGCTGCGTCTTTTAAAAGTCATAAGATGAAATGACAAGTTTAGCTTTCCCTTGTCTGTTTGTGCGACTGACCGTGCATTTCTAAAGTGAAATCAACTAAATTAAAGCAATATTACATTACCACATGTGTGTTTTTGACAGGCTTTACAGGAGCGTATTGGTTGTTTTGACGTCCGTCATGGCGGAGCGGGAAGAGTTTCAAAGAGAGCGACGTCGTGTGCAAAGGGTCAGTACTAATAAAGTTACCTTGACAGAGTGGATCAAACATTTACATTCCAGAGTTTCTGGTTCTGCATCCCTTCCAGTGGAGACGTTTTCTCAACAGTTTTAATGTGTTTTTCCTTTTTGTTTGATTCTTTTTTATTTATTTATCTAACCAGTAAAACTCACATTGGGATAACACTTTGTTCCAGACCGACAGTACAGGTTAAGAGAGGGCGAGAAACAGCACAACAATCAAATCACATATTAAAAAAAACAGTTTCCACCTAAATTAACATTTACAGCCAGATGCTTATTCCTCAGAATAATTAAAAACACTTGGAAATTTCTGAGGTTTTATAGTTTAAAATTTACTAGATAAAACCTGATGAATTTGGGGATTAATCTTTGAGTTTTTCTAGAAAAAATCATTGCAAATGTCTGACCTTGAAAAGTCAGAGAAAAATAATTTCTTTAAGAAAAAACAATTTTCTTAAGAAAAAAGTGAAAAATTATTCATACATTTAAATCCTTTAAAAGTGTGTGAAGGACAATGTATTCTTATTATTTAGGTCACTTGCTAGGCTCAGAGGAGTTTGAAGAAAAAATTACAGAAACGTTTTGAGGTTCTGTTCTTCATCGTTTGAACGCTTCATCAACAATCGGAAAAAATGTGCTTCCTGGAACATCTCGTCAAACTACGCAACCCAGTAAACACACCATAAATGTTACAATATTTTAGACAAAATATTCCCGGGAAACGATTTTTAAATTCCTCCGTTGTCAGAGTTGAACCTAACCAGGCCTGTGTTGATGGGGTAACCGAGCAGCACGGCTGCAGAACAACAACCAACAAACAAAGCCATTTCAGGGTCATGAACCCAGAAGGAAAGGAACTAAAGTCCAAGGAAGAGGGCAAAGATGTTGACATATAGACAGAAAACTCCTGTTTCTGCTTGAACTAATTAAAACTCTACAGTACAACAGAGTTTAAAGCAGCTCTGACATCCATTTGAGAGATAAATAGTGGAAGCTACGTCACTCACATGGACACTGTCTTGCAATGCTTCAAAGCTGGAGTAGTTTTTTCCACTTCTAGAGTTACAGACATGCCATACACTTTCTAAAGATCAATATTTTGGCTGCTTTTTAAGGTATTGTAGGTGTAAACACACCATAAGGCATTCACATCTAAACAAACATTAGATCAGAGTGTCAAACTCATTTTCAGTTTGGTCCAAATCCAGATCATGAATGCTCTTAAAGGGCCGGTTGTGCCAGAATGTATTGATAAAACTTGTTCACAAACTGATAAAGTATCACTGAATTCTTAAAATTAAATGTTATTTAACATCTTTTCAGTCCCTCCATGACTTTATGATTCTTTTGTGATTTATTTGCAATACATTAGTACAATTTGTGGTACTAATGTGGAAATATTTGCAATATTTGCTCTTATTTATGACGGTAAATGTGACTTTTTATTACTCGCTGTATAGATCATGGATTATAATCTGACATCAGTTAAGGCTGAGGTAACTGCTTAGTACAAGTAAAATTTTTGACAATTTTTCAGTAATAAACTCCCAGTTATGTATTGGCACAAAAAAGTGCAGGGATTTTCACAATATTTCTCAAGAAACTGGAGGGACTGATTGACATAATTTGGCAGTAAACGGATAAAAACTGCATTGATTTGATTGATAACATCATATTTAAGCACATTTAGTGTTTAGTCTACAATCTAGAGAGCCGCATAGAAAGCTATGACGGGACTTGAGTTTGTCACATGTGCTTTAGAATATGACGGCAAAATCTCATTTTAAAAATTTTAATTCACACACGTAGGGAAATATTTCAATCCTTCATTTCATGTCATTTAATGAAAACCCAAAATTCAGAACATTTGGACCTTCTTTTGCTTGAACCTCTCAGCCAATAGAATGCAAGTGCTGTATTGGGTGCGTTTGTTTCCTTCTAGTGGGTGTGCCTTCTGTCGATTGTAGCAACAATTGATATCCATCTATCCTCCCTCTCCCTTACTCGTCTGTTTACTGAGATGCAGTGAATTTCCACTAAAATGAAAATGTGTGCTCTTGAATTATATAACTCCCCCATAAAAATGGGGTTGAATCTACGGAAACTCTGTCCTTGCTTAAATCGCTGTGCACCAACAATATCTTTAATAACAATGAAGCAAAGCATAACACCTGTGGCCCAGCTGTTCAGCTACAGCATGCTTCAAAGCATCTTTTTTTAATTTATTATCTTAGAGATTTTTAATGAAACTATTTTATAGTAAACCTGCTATTTTGAGAAGCGTTTTTGGACTGAACCCTTGTGCATATTGTGAATAATGAATAGGTACAGCGCATGCAGCATAATCATAACTTTATGTGTAACTGGATGTAAAGGTTATATACTTTAACAAAGCATTGATTGACAAAGTAGACAGCAGAGCTGAGCTGGTAGATGTTTACTAAAAAAGTTTAATTTATGGGAAAAAAATTTTTCCAGAAATTAATCCCATTAAAAGTGTTGAGACGTTTCCAGTTACGTATTTGTTTGCATGTCCAGAGCAAAAAAAAGGTTAAATTTAGACAAAATACTTACAGAATTTTATATAAATTTTTTGACACTGAATAACTCTGTTTCTTAAGGGTTTTTTCAGTATGTAACAATAAACTAAAATCAGATTTAGATCAACATGAAAGTCTAGCGGTGTTAAAGACAGCAGTAATGTACTTTATACCATGTACCTCTAAAATGGACTAAACTCAACGGCTAAAATCTGAACTTTTGTTATAGTCCTTGTGTCTTCAGGTTTTGGTTTTCATGTGTCTTTGTATTTTCAATATTTTCTTTATTTTGATCTCATATTGCCATTTTCTGTTAATTTCTCTGATCATTATTGGTAGTAAGGTATTGCCATATAAATTAGTTCTTTGAGTTTCTTTAATTATTCTCTGTTTCCATTTGAATTTAGTTTGAATTAGCGTTTTAAGTTTTACTTCACCTCTTTTGTTTCAATCATTTACTTTCCCTCATCTGTCTGGCAGAAACTGAGGTTTTTTTAATTAAATTGTTTTATTTGAAGACATTAACAAGATGGAAGTAACTAGAGGTACTAATATCTGTGTTTAGCTCTGAGTTTTAAAAAAATTATAAACGATCAGCTTGTTTTCTAAACCCCATCGCGATCAAACTTATGTAGGAGTCTCAGGCGCGGAGCTATAGGGGGGCCGGCCCGGGCGGGTGCCTATGGGGGCCCGGGTCCGGAGGTGCCAGGGAGGGAGAAATGGTTTCAAGTCGCTTTAATCCATTCCTCCATTGCAGAATTTTACTAAGGTTTTTAAAAACAGCTGTTAATGTGACTCTTGGTCTGGGCAGCTTTTTACGTTTTATGTAACGGAGCCTTTAATTCAGAAGCAAAATCTTGATCCATACGATATTAAGTGGCTGACTACGCTAGTTTTTGGTGTACAAAAGTCAAATTATAACTGCAAAGTACAGCTTAGGAATCCAAACAGTTTTCCCATCCTGTTGATGACCTTGAACTTCTTGGATTTAGGACATAAAAAAAGACATAATTGCAAAGCACAGTGTGTGCTGTCTGCACCAGATTACTGGTTCAATCCGTATCTATACTGGGAACATTCAAATGTTTGCATTAAACAGCACAAACTTTACTCGCTTTTCCATGCAGATTTATCTCCAGTCACAGCACGTTTTATGCATCAAGCGCGGGAAGATTTGAACCGTTTGGAGCTTTTGACGCGTCAAAAGCGTCTGACAAATGGATTCAGCAATGGAAAACAAAGGCTTGAGCGATTTTGACGCATCGCCACATAGACTTTGAATATAAACCAGGTGCACGACACGCTAGGTGTGAAGCAAAATGTCAAGTGTCTGCATTCAAAGTTGACGCGTTAGATGTGAACGCACCATTAGGATTTTAAAATTGTTTTTAAATTATAGTTTTTCTTCTTTCCTTGCAAGTCTGCAAACACAGATGTCTCATTGAAGCCATTATAATGATGCCAAAACCAGATTTGGTGAAACTGTGGATTAAACTGGTTGATATTAATTAGGAATATAAAAGGAAAGTGAAGTCAACCCAATCAGATGAATGTTAAGAATTTAACTTCTTTTATCATACATCAAACATCTGTGTGTCAGGAGACTTTCTTTGTAGTTGCAAGAAGAAAAGTCGTGTTAAGCCGCTGCACCCTAGTGATTTACTACAAGGCCTTCGGCCCCGTTAGTCCAACAGTGAGTAAGCCTTTTCCCTGCCTTTTCTCTCTCCAACCTGCTATTACATGCCAGGTGGATAAGCTCCAGGGGTATGCAGGGTATTTGTCACAGTGATCGAGCATGTAAAGACTGTATTTTCTGAATTTATTACACATGCACAATGTCTGCTGTACTCTGAGCGTAATTTACTGCTACTGTTGGTGCACAGACGCATGCATTTGGACCAGTGACTGTTATATAATCACTGGTCCATACAACAGAAGAGAAATAATGTGTTTGTCTTCTGCAGCATCTTGTTGGGTGAATAAAAGAGCAGCACATGAAAGAGGCATCAGCCCAGACAAACCAGATGACTCAATTGACAGGTGAAGTTGCTGATGGAGAAATAAAAATGAAAGCCTGGCTTTTGAAAACCCAACAAGTGAGGAAGAATGCAGAGAATGACTGCCATCAGAGAGAAAGTTGTTCATAAAGAAAATCCCAAATAAATCCCTTAAACTGTCTTTATTTCAGATTCAGGATGTTTGGAATTACACTTTCAAGTTGTAATAGTCTTATTCTCAGTTTCACCAACTTTATTTCTAAATTCATATTAACATTGATCTCTGAAACATTTTTAGTATTTCA